CCCCTGGTCCCGACTCCACTTGGAGCTGTCTTTCTGGGGAGCTCAGGCCTGCAGAGAACCATGTGCTTTGAATGTTGACGATCTGTGTTTCTCCTGTAAAACATGATTTGCCAAATGGAGAACCAATATGGATTTCTAGAATCACTTTAGAATATTAACCAGTGGCATTGCCTTTGATCTTTAGCATTCACAACAGCTCATTCATATGAAATTGCCTTCTGGATATCATTCTTCCTGCGATTTAGCCATCTTAATTTGAAGTGGAGAATATTATCAAAATATTAAGAGCAATTTCAAAATTGAGAGATTTGTGGGCCTCTTGCAAAATGGTGATGTTGACTGACTAATCTGGAAAAGGTTAATGATAATAATTGTAAGATTTTTTTTTTTAACCTGGAACTTTTATTGGATTATCAAACTTATTTGGAGTCCTTTCCGTTTCTTTTCTCTGTAGGTTTACCCAAGAGAATGGTTCTGTTACCCGTTATGAAATTCCCAACATATCCTGTTCCCCACTACTCATTCTTTTAGCAAATGACAGAAGCTAATTCCTATTGAACAACAATACAGTACGATACAGAATGTTAGAAACAAAGCCTTTTTATCCTGCTTTCTTCGAACACATACTTGATCAAAATTATTTGTAAAGAACATCTTTCCTACTTTTTGATTTTAACAAATGCAAATTTAGTTCTCTAAAACTTGAAAACAAACAAAAAAAAGGAAACTAGTTCTGTGAAACGGTACTCTCAAACACTGATCACAAATAAACTGCTTTGTTGTACCCCAGAGTATACTGCCTGGTTCCTGACATAGCCACTGATTCTAGCTGATTGACATGTATCTGCCCCAGGGCACTTTAAGTTGGGCTGTAGTAATTTTTTTTAATACAATAGACTTTTCATTTTACTTTGTAAATATTGAAGTGTGTAATTAAAGCCAATAAAATATGGGTTTGAATATTGTTTTAGCTTATTATTTTTGATATGTTTTGGTATAAAATTATAAGGAATTGAAAACTAATAACTTACCCTAGGAAACCCATCCATTTGTAAGCAAACTGCTAAAGTAAAACCAAGGCGGTTGTGAGTCCCAGCCAGTCTCCTTACTTTGTGAGCCCTTCGTGCCCTGCTGTACAGGGGCTTCACCACGATCCGGGGTGCTCTGTTCCCCGAGCATTGCTTATCAAAATGGTGGCACCACCCAGAGATGGGAAAGGAGGAATAGGATCATTTTAGTTTCAGAATTCCCTAGTTTTAAAAAATAATAAATTAATTGACCAGTCACCCTCTCTTGTTCTTGTGGCCTTCTTCACTCTGTAAGATACTGTGTTCACTCCCTGACTTTTTTCATGCAGATAGAAGATCAGCAATTTTTCTGGGATTCATTGAAGGGTCTTCTTTTCCTCTTCAATTACATCAGAATCTAAAGCAGCAACAGGGTCCCCATAAAAACTTGCTCTTCGATTGTCCCAGTTCTTGTTGAGTGCTGCTGTGAAAAGTGACAGGTTTCAGCCATGGGTCAGCATTTATTTTTAAGACACCTGGTTAAGCTGGTGACAGGTGATGACTGGGTATCATTGTGCTGTTCTGTAAAGGGTGCAGACCTAAGTCTTCCACTTGCATTCTCACCTTGTTTGAAAAGCCTATGATGTTACTAGAAGGTAATGGTTTCATTAAGGTACTCACCCCCATGGAGACAACAGTGTGGTCCCCTGTTGGTATTTACAAGTTGTTGTGTCTTAAAAATGTCCGTTTTTAGTATGAAATAGCTTTCTTCTTCCCTCTTAAATTCTGTTTTTCAGAGTGGAACACTGCCCATCAGTGAGAATGGGCTTCACAAAATATGGCAAATTGATTGCCAGATTCTTTGGGACCACTAAATAAGAATGAAACGGGCAGTTTAAAACAAATGCTCATGTCACTTCTTAGACATCTATTTATTACAGTGGTTTGTTTGTTACTTCTGCTCCTTGACCTTTTGTCTTATTAGTGGTGGGTGATTCTTTAATAAAACCTCATCACTTGCTAGAAATAGCTGTGAACTTATCATTCTCATCTATGCATTAGTGGCTAGACGTAAACAGGAGGCCCATTTCGGCTGGGAGTTTTCATTTTTCATTGATTCGTTTTGCTGACCTATGGATGAAACAGAGCCATCACTGAGAAGAAAAAGCATGGCTGATAGTGTCCAATTTTTATTAAATATTTACAATAGTCCTCTTGGTTTTCGGAATACTATTAATTGGCAGCTGCAGCTGTATTGTCATTTGAAATTGATCATCAAATTTGTATTCCAAGTTGGAATCTCTCTGGAGATTTCTCTTTAGAAAATTCTTTAGAATTAGCTGACTCAGCTTCATAGCTCGATCCCTGTATGATGGTGAAAAGGGAGCTGTGCTGTTTTCCAACATGATGGCAGTCATTTCAAATGGTTTCTACCAAGTCCTTTTTTTTGTTTGTTTGTTTGTTGGAAGTTACTAACCATGTTGTAAACCTGCCCCGTTGCTGCAAACTTTTACATTTCTCTGCTTTACTTAAAATAACAGAGCTGTCAGTCCTTTGTTAGAAGTGGTAACCATTGCAAGTTCAACTGTTTAAATTTTGTAATGAATTAAGTGTCCCCCCTTCTTTTGCCCTTCCCACCCTTCCATTTTGTAATGAAAATTCCACTTACAGCTGAAAGAGCAGAGAAATATAAATGAAGCTCTTGGCTTCACCAAATTCTGTGAAATTAACATAAAGTTTTGCTTCTCTGCTCTTTTCTCCACTGTAGGTGGTTTTTTCATTGAAAGCCCCTATTGCCAGCCTCTGAGCGTCGCACCATTTATTATTCACTTGGGCCCTCAAGATTTCTTCTCTGACTTCTAGAACCATCAGGTTGTCTGGCTTGAAATGGCAATTTCTATGTCTTGGTCTTAAGAGCAATGTGACCCCTGAGGCTTTCCAGCTCTCAGACACACCACTCTGGTACCTTCTTTTGGAAAGCAATGACTGAACATTTTAAAGACGAGCAATACTTTACTCAAAGCCACGGTGTCTGTTCTAAAACTTTTCTTTGGAAACCTAGCAATATCTGTACTTGACTCCTCCTAGTGTAGTCTCTTGTCAGGGAGTTTACAGACCAATGTAGAACTTAGAATTAGTGTGTGAGCTGTGCTATATCTTCGAACCATTTTTAAACTTTTTTAGCATATAAATTGGGTAGCTGCATTCCTGACTGCGTCAGTTAGTGCTTTTATAATGTCTCAGAGATAGGGGTTCTTGAAGCCATATTCTTTGCATGGAGGCTGGTGCCCAGCTGTGGATGTGGCCTGTAGCCTGTGTTCCTTCAGGCTCAGGAGCACCCCAGCTCCTGTGCAAGGAAATGGTCCCGTGGTTTCCCACATACCTCATGCAGACTTGCTGCCGTGCCCGGTGCCGTGCAGTGCAGAGTCCTGAGGTCGTCTGTAGTCCTCTCAATCTGTTACCCCAGGGGACACACCTGACAGATTGTCCTGATATTAACCTTTTCTTCTTTTTAAAAATTTGGGTGAATGTTTGAAAATCATGAATCAGTCAGTCACCATTATTAATTGAAGAGCTGGGAATACCTCGTTAATGTATTTTTAAAACTGGTGTTGGACCCTCTGTGTATTTCAGGTTAATACTTTTAAGCAGTTTTCAGCACGTTTATCTCACTTTATTCTCGTTCTCCTCGGACCTTCGTAGCCATATCACTTATATAAAATAGGCTGAGATATAGTGACTGTAAGCTGTGCTCTCAGTATACAAAGGTAAGCTCTTTTACTTTCTGATTAAAGAGAAAAGTAATTAAAAATGGATGAACACAACATGCATGCATATATTACAATCATATATGATGTATTTGATCTCTTAGGTCTTATGGCATCACATTTCCTTTAAAAAATTCTGTATGATCTAAATGTAAAATTACTATTTTCGGCGTTTCTTTTAATACCTTGTTTTACTTTCTATTCAAGAGACATTTCACTTTTGCTGAGTTAAGTGTGTGTATGAGTGGAGAAACTTAAAATATAACATATGTGAATTACACACACATACCTGTTTAAAGAAAAGAATTCAGTGGTAGAGAGAGTTCACCTAAAAAGATCTTAACATCAGGGCACTCTTGGCCAAAGTGCTGGGATTTCATAAGCAGCAAGGTTGGTGACAGTGCTGGTAGGATGCATTTATATGTAGTTGTTACACAAGCTGAGGATTGAAGTGCCAATTTCTCAAGGAGAAAAACTCTGAGAAATGAAAATCTCTGATCTATGTTGTATGCCCTAATGCAACAGCAGCAAGAAGCCATAAAAAAAAAGCAATAGAAAATGAAAAAAACCAAAATATTAAGGTAACTATGGGAAAATATGTAATTGACTGAGTTAAGCTAACTATTTGCAGAACCAAATTTGGCAAGACTCAGAATGGTAAATACCCAGGGACCAAATAGATGTAAGGCAACTCACCTGTCTTTCTAGGTTCGGTAGCTAGATGATTTATTTCCCACCTCATTCAGCCATCATGGAGTTTATTTAAAATATGTCAGGGTTAGGCCAAATATTTTAATAAGGATTTGCTTTGTTTAGTGTGTCCCATATATGCATTTCACATGTGTCAGATGTTCTGTGCTAAGGCTATTTTTTATATATATAGATTAAAATGAATTTTATGTTTTATATTTGTCTCTAAGTAGCAGTTTTCTTTTTATTACTAACTTGAAGGTTGCTAGAACAACTTTCTTTTCCATACAGAACCTGCATGTATGTTGAATGTGGCTTTCACATCTATAAAAGATTGTATGAGGTCTAGCTGACTAGTAGCAAGTACATTCCAGTTCTGCTCAAACAGCCAGGTGCCCATTATGTGCCAGGTCCTTCTCTGGGTATCAGCAAACAGAGCCCTGCCCAGTGGAAATGCTTTAAGTCTGAGTCTCCTTGTTGATGGAATTGGGCCTGCTATAAATATCCTAGCTTGGGAGGCAAATCATGCACTAGAAATGTCAAAAGATTAACTTATTTAATAGTTTATTTATAAACTAGAGGCCTGGTGCACGAATTCATGCAACAGTAGGATCCCTTGGCCTGGCCTGCGGGATCAGGCCAAAACCGGCTCTCGGACAGTCCCCCGAGGGGTCCTGGGTTGTGAGAGGGCGCAGGTCAGGCTGAGGGACACCACCGGTGCAGGATCGGGGCCAGGGAGGGACGATCAGGGCTGGGGACGGACATGGGAAGTTGGCCAGCCGGGGAGGGACCGCGGGAGGGCTCCAGGCCATGTCCGGCCCATCTTGCTCAGTCCCAATCAACCAGAACCCAGCAGCAAGCTAAACTACCGGTCAGAGGTCTGCCCCTTGGTCAATGCACATCATAGCCACTGGTCGACTATCTGCCCCCCTGGTGGTCAGTGGACATCATAGCGAGCAGTTGAGCGGCCTGAGCATTTCATTAGCACATTACGCTTTGGTTGGTTGAACGGACAACCGGATGACCAGACACTTAGCATGTTAGGCTTTTATTATATAGGATTAATAATACAGGCCCTCTGACATCACAAAAATGAGCATCCAATGGAAATTCACTCATTTTAAATATTTCCCTGCCAGTTTTGACAGCTCAAAACCAACTCTGGTTTATGTTCATGGACCTCTATCCAAGTAAGTGAACTGAATGAAATGAATAACAAATACCCCAGTCCTTTTATAGCAATTTTTATAATAGCAAATAACAAACTGGCTAATTTAAATACTGACCACATATTTTTTTTATGACAAATGAGGGGAATTTTACCCTTCTAACTGTTTACTATTACTCCCCTGTTTCTTGGATCTTATTAATAACTACAGCGGATGTAAATTTTCAGTAGTGAGTTAGGGGAATGAACTGAGATTCCCTGCACCCCATTCCTAGCAGTTAGAATTCTAGCAATCTAGAGCCTAAAAACCAGGGCTATTAAGAACAGTTATAGCTAAAAACAGCCTGCTCTCTGAATGGTCGTCCTGCAACTGCCATTGAGCTAAACCCTGTACCTCCTCGCTGTGGTGTGGGGTGGTGCTCTCTGTGGTCATCAGAACAAGGAAGGTTCTGTTTTATTCAGACTGGTGCTGACGCCATGCTACCCGGTGACCATGGATTTCTCAGTGTTACCAGGCGGCCTGGAAGGGAGGTGGGTGCTAAATGAACCCCAGAGCCAAGAAAGCATCCCCGTGGAGGTGAGCTTCTGTGCTGATGTGTCTCTCGTGCTTATGAGCAGAGCATAGAACTAGCACTTCTTATAGAGGAATGAGCTCCTTCCTTTCCAGTAGCATCTTCCAGAAAGGCAGCGGTAAGTCAAGAATTTGAGTTGAGTTAGTTTTAAGAATAGATGTCTTCTCTCACATCATTTTAGGTGGGAGCTAACAGCTTCCATTGATGCTTGAAGCAGTCATCTTTGGAGATTTTTAAAATAGCATCATAATGCAAATTAGGTTATGTAAGCTTTACAGCACAGCTAGAAATAGGGAATAGAAACCTTGTGGGAATCCGGACCAAAGAATTTCTCTCCCTCCAGCAAATTGCTATGGGGCTTGAGAATTAGTTAATAACACTGAAGTGCTTTGAGTAGTACCTGGCACATAGTTAGTACTCAGGAACTGTTGACTGTCCTTCCCATGGTTGGCTGAGGTGACAAAATATGTGAGGGAGGCAAGGCTGTGCTGGCAGGTAGCTGAGAAGCAGGTGTGTGGCCTGCTTAAGGGGGAGCTGTGTTGGTTCCTTAGTGCTGACAGGGTTGGGGTGCACCCGGGCTTTGGGAGAGGCCTGTCCTAGCATCTGGGGGTTAGACAGGAAACACAAAGCACACACTTAGTGAGAGCTAGTGTGTGTGTGTTGGGGGCGGGGGGGGGTCACTGCAGATCTGTGCTGAATGCAAAGGCTCACTTCTCTGCTGTGCTGGTGAAATCACTGGCCAGTCTGCTGCCGGGGTTCATAAATATTTGCTGTGGGATTAAGTGTGCTTATAGAGGCTGAGCTTAGAATATCAGCCTGCTGATTCCAGGTTTCCTACCAGTGATCAGTAAGAAAAAAGAGTGTGTTTGATTACCACCAGCCCCTAAATCCAATGTTCAGTCACCAGTGCCTGGCAGGTAGAAAGCAAAATAAAAACCACAGAAAAGAAAGGAGTCTGGGTGGCATGCTTAGGCTGTTGACTCAGATGCTTCTCTGAATAGC